GTGTCTGCGCCTCTGTGCCACCATCCTGAGGGGCTTCAGCAGCGACAAGGACAGACCCCAGGTGATTCCTCTTGGAATCTTCATTCTGACCACAGCCACTTTCTCAGAAACTGCTCATGTACCACTCACCCCCCTCAGGGTTCCCGGTCCTTTGACCCATCAGCTGGCTCCTCTTTAAACCCGTCCCTAGTGTGGACCATGTCAGATGATAGTAATCTTTATTTTCTATGACCCATTACTCCATAGGCCTGACAAACCCTACCCTGAATGAATCCAATTATTGCCACTTCCATGCCTACCCTTTGGGCTGCTGATAGACAAATGAAATCCTCAAACCACATGGATAAGTAGCACTATGAATTTGTAACAACAGCTAATGCTTCGTAATGGATGCGGGCTTACTTCATGCTTGATACACGGATCACTCCCTTTCATCTTCAGATTCACTGCACGCAGTAGATATTAGTGTGATTCCTATCCTCGAGGGGAAGAAGCTGAGCCTACTGTCACTCAGCCAAGGGAATGAGTAAGCAGGAGTCACAGACAGGCTGTCCGGTGGTCCAGAGGCCACACTCCCGGCCACTCAGCCACACAGCATCAATGTTGATCAGCGTTGCCCACCACCATCGAGCTGTCACTTCTCACAGTACAATTCTCACTTCTTCAAACCACTGACTTCCTACCTTTCTTCTCACTCTCAGCAAATGACCGTGCCTCCTACTTACAGAGAAAACAGAAGCCATCAGACCATTGCTCTTGCTCCAGGTGTGTGCACTTACCTGCCTCACTCTTCAGGGCTGCCTTGTGATACAATGCGATAGTTTCAACATCAGAAAAAGGCACAACCATCAGATAACAGACACGTTCTTGCCAAGGGGAGAATGAAACCGTTTTATTTGGGGGAATGTTCAAACAAAGCCATATACAATTTGTAACAAATACAATAGTTGTTTGTTCCCTAGTCCTGAATAATTACAGTATATACAAATTCAATAAGGCACTGGTTCCCCAAAAGAACACAACGAGTCTTCTTTTGAAACAGACAACAAAACTCTTTATTGCCAACTCTTCTCCAAAAAAAAAAAAAAAAAAAGTATGGCATTGTTTTTTTCTGCTTTGTTTTACAAGAGGAATCATAATGGCTAAATTAAATCACTTCGGATGCCATTTTGTTCGTTTCCACTGCTTTGTGACTGAGTTTTCCAAGGAGATATAACCACAGAACAATTCAAGTTTAAAAACTGTACTTCTTTCAGTGCCTTTCCAACTACAAACATGGAGAGCTAGAACAGACCAGCGACATAAAGCACTGTAACTTCCAATGAATATGCTTGACTCTAGGAAGGTGAATTCTGGTTGTTATTCGGTCCCTGCTATACCTGACTACACCACAACTGAAACAAAGAATTCCCTGTGAATAAAATCTTAGCATGTTTTCTAAGATGCTTTATGTCTTGATACTAAAAGGAATGGTCGTCACTAGTCACTTTTGAGCAGTGCTTTCCAGGAGGTCAAAGGCCTGTCTCTTCACAATGTTCGTAGCACTGTAACTTATGATTTAACAATCTACAACACTTTTATAAATAAATATTATGTTTCATTTAGTACTTTATCATCTCTAATATTTTACTCTCTAATCCACAAAATGGAGTTGTGCCAGACTCCAAACTGAACAAAATATTTATATAAACATATATATTTATATAATATATATACACATAATAAACTATAAACCTGAACATCTTAGCATACAAAACTTATATTAGCTAGCAACTAGTATTTTAGGATTCCTTTGGGGGGAGCAACTAGAAGAAAATCTTAGTCTTTGAAATAGTCCTGATAAGAGGAAATCATCTACATTATTAATTTCCAGGTCCCCACTTATTCTATAGAAAGGTAAAACAAAATACAATTCACTTCTTCTGAGCTACTAGAAATTTAAAAATAAAAAAGGATAATTTGGAAGTAAGTAGGTAGTCTCTTTAAGAACAATTTAGGGTTCCTTAAGTTAGGTGAATTTTGTGAAGACAAAAAAAATCTATTCATAAATAAATTCTTGTTGCATTGAAAGACTATACTAACTAAATAAGTCTTTTGAAGTATCTCAGGAACAATTTTTAGATGTTCATAATGAGTAAATCAGACTGAGAATTAGAAAGTAAGCTACTGATTTTTCCGAAGCAACTAGACAAATAAGATAGAAGTTTCCTGCCATTCTTCATTGGAGCCAACACCTCCCTAGAAATCAAGTGTATTTTCAAATCATCACTTCCCCCAAACATGTTCTGATTTGCAGTTATCATGTATAAAAACTTACCTAAAAGAGCACACATTTTTATCTAAGAAGTCCAACCGCACTTACATTTAGGAAAAAATCAAGAAACAAAACATGTCCCCAGTTATGGGCATAAATGTTTACTTATTTGTTTGTAGATGATCTGATTAGAGGTAATGAAGTTTCTCTCCACGGCTCAGATGATTATCACGCTTAGTTCTAGCCACATATTCCTTCTAAGCTATCACACAGAACACAATTTGACACAAGAGAAAGGAACCGTTACATTGCCATTCAGGTTCTTCTAATAACACCAGAAGCAGCATTCTGATTAAAATTCTATTTGGAGCCAACTGTTTTTAATCTTTATAATAAACAAATTTTGTTCATATTCAAGAACTTTTTAAAAACCAAGTTATTTCTTTGTTACAAACAAAACGTGGCTATGAAGCATTGGGAAGTCAATGCTGAATACGGAACACTGTGTTTCTTATGATTCTCTCAGACTGTTAAGCACAGCTCACAGTCACTCTCTGCTCTAGGGTGTTTTCCGAATGAACAAGTCACCAGCTGCAAGCCGACTTCAGAAGTGAGGAAAATATTTTCTCATTTTTCATGCAGCTGTCAAAATTTCAAAAAACGTCCATCCTTCAATCACCAAGTGGTGCAAATGTGTTATAAAATACTGCCCTCTGCAGGATTCTGGAAGGAATGCCTTTTATTTTTTATTTGTTATTTTTTTAAGACTAGGGAGGAAGTATTTCCCAATTCCTTATTAAATTACAGAATTTCTGAGAAGTAAAGGAAACCCATAGTAAGAGCATGTAAATGAATACAGGTGAGGGGGATGTGTACAATTTTGAACTTTATGTTCCTGTTGCTCAGGAATGTTGGCCCTGTCCATGACTGGGCTCATGTGTCTCAACAGTGAAAACTCTGCAGAATTAAGTGGGTGAAGAGATGTTTTGCACAAGTGCCACAGAGAACACAAAAATAATAAATTAAAAAGTGAACTGAACATAATGAGAATAAAATAAAATAGATAAAAGATATGAAATTACCACTTACGACGTACATGCTAGATCCATCTATTCTAGAAAAATAAATCACAGCAGCCAGAATATTTTGTGGCTTCCACTAACTCTCCTCTGTGTGTCCCATTTGGAGGATATAGTTATCTATTGTTAAATTAAAATTTAGTTACATTAACCTGACATATGCTTCCTCTCCGTCCCTTAACTCAGACACAAGACACAGACAATAATGAAAAGAAGCTGGTTTTATCTATACAAAATAAGGTGTGCACCATTTACTCTCAGGCTTCTGTGATCGGCTCTCTGCATACATAGGAAACAAGCCATGTGCACCTCCAACCCCATCCTCTACCCTACTAACACGGGCATCTTACAACACAAGAGCCAATGATCTCTATTTTAAAGGGTGTGGCCATCAACTCAACTGATGGCAATTTCACTCAATACTGAGCCTTTCATTTGAGAGATCAAAAGCATGCATCGGTCAGTTCTCTGCACATTAAAAAAAAAAAGCTTTGCTTGTGTTTAATGAAAAGGAAGAGATTTGACCACGAAAGAGATACCTAACAGAATCAGAAACACAAAGTGGTTCTGAAGAACACTGACACTGACTTCTAATAGAATCACACGAAATCTTCATTTGTTCCATATCCTCTGAAGCTGCAAAAGGTCACCTGCAGGAATTCCCAAGCGGGTCCCAGACAGGTGGTATGTGTACCCGGGTGCATTCACATTGCTGTGGCAGCCCCCCAAGCAGGGCTGGCCAAAGTGGTCAGAGCAGGCAGGGGCGGGCTGTTCAGACAGTTCCATTCTGTGGTCTCCAACCTCACAGACTGTCTTCTGGTGTGTAGAGTGCAACAAAATTTTACCAATGAAAAAAACCATTTTAATTTCCTTTCTAGCAGAATTTCTGCAAAGAACTCTCATTGTTATTATTTAAACTAGAATAGTAACAACCTTAAAACATCTAAATTCTTTGTTATATTTTGGCAAAATTAAAGCATCTTTTGAAAAGGAAGAAATAAAAAGAGGGGGGGCAATCCCAAAATACAGGGCTTTCTTAGAAAGCAATGTGCACCACGTCTTCAACAAGTTACCCGAGCGGTTTCAACCTCCGCCACACACAAGGGATCCCTGTTTCTGGGAACTTCTGCCTTTGTCCACGCTGCTCCCCGAGTGGTGACACTGAACCTGCTGGGAAGCAGGGCTGTTCGAGGCTTGGACTGTGGGTGCTTCGGGAACATTTTCTACTCTGCCCGCAAAGAGAGGAAGAGCTGGCTTTCTCCACTGATGCTTTCTTTTTCTTTACTTTCCTTTTGTCTTCTTTTTCCCCCCTCAAATCAGAGTTTAATGTCCTGGGACTCTGACATTTTGGCAAGTGTTTTCTTCACACGCAGGGCTGTCAGTCTGGACGCGGGATTGTGAGCCCAGCACTCGGTCATTAGCTTCCCCATCTGCCTCAGACACTGCAGGGAGGGAAACGGAAAAGCGGGAGTGGCGTTAGAGACATGTATTTACTATGTGCCAGGCTGGCCCTTGATACTTGGCTTTTGATTTTGGGCTCCTGGAGTTTGAATAGGAGTTTCAAAAGCTCCTTTTAAAACCATGTTTCATAACACTTCTTTTTTCATGCAAATCTTCAATGACTAAGACAGATTTTCATAACATCCTTCTGATAGGAGCAAGCAAGTGGTTGTGCTGATTGAAGAAGAGTGTCTTTGAAGTCAGCATTAAATAAATACAAAAATATGCAGGGAGTCTGTATTCCACTCCACACTCCCGGTTTGTTTATAACATTTGATCAGCTTAAATCTTTTATCTCCTTCCATACTATTCAAACAAACACGGTTATTCCTAAGTCGCAGCTGTCTGCTACAATAATAGCATCACACTGTCGCTTTTAATAAGATGCATGACCTGTGCGGGGCCTCGCTGAAACTTTCTCCTACATAAATTATTGGTCTTCCTGTTGAAAGCACAATTTCACTTCATTAGAAATCCTCAGTGAAGGAATCTGGGGTAATACTAGTGCCTGTAACCAGCTTCAAAGGAAGGTAACTCCAGCATCTCATAAAGCTTTCTGCATAGCTCATTGGAAAACATATGTATGATTTAGCATAAAACCAATGATCCAAAGGTTGTTTTTAAATGCATTTAACGGTGAAGGATTATTTCATAAACAGCGCTCTGCCCACATGTTTGCCCTGGCTCTGGTACATGTCTGATGCTCAAGCATCTCTGAATGTGCCAGCCTGCCAGAGCGCTCCAGGATTTGGTGAGTGTACAAGCTTAGAGGATGGATGGAGAGAATGTGGAGCAGATGAGTCAGGGAAGGCAAGGCCCGCCTCACTCAGTTCCTCCTTATGCACAGCTTCTTAGCAGACCTGTTTTAGGCTTCACCACTGTACCCTTACAGCCTCGTTGCACGTGGATTCCTTCAAATCACATCTCCTCATCCTTATTAACAAAGATCCACAGCATCCTCAGGCATCTCAACTAGGTCAACTTGTATCACTTCTCTGTATAGAAAATGGCATTTTTCAGATGCCTATCTTTTCTCTCATCAAAATGTGAGAATGTTGCATGTGCGTTTTTCATGGAGAAAAACTCATGATGCTTTAAACACACACACACACACACACACACACACACACACACACACACACACACACAGAGGAAAAATGGCAGCTGAATAGGCAGACATGTCCTGCACCTTGTTCCAGAGTAGATAAAGGGAGCAACTGAGTCAAATAACATCCTCCTTGAATTGTCGAATTAGACAGAGCTGGTGAGACAATTCACAGCCGGGAAGGGCAGAGGACGCCTGGAGAAGGTAGAATCAGGGATCTGGGCTGGAAAGAGATGCGTGACCACCGGGCCAAGAGGGTCCAGAAGGAACTGCGCTGCACCAAGTCCGTGTCCATTGGGGACAGATGTAACATCCGACTGTGGAAAGGAAGTCCACAGGGGTGCTGGCAGCTGGGGAATCTAGATCTAAGTCCACAGCCATGAGGGGCTGTGCCCAGAAGGGTGGCCTGAAGAGCTGCCTGAGCCACGGGGTGCCAGGGGAGAGAAACTGGCAGTCACGTGGTTGTTTTGCCTCTGTTTTCTCTTTGCTTTAATTTGCTAAACCCCGTTCATGGGACTTTCAATTGCAAACACTCACCCGAGGCTGCGATGCAGGTAGAGGTGCAGATTTGTGGAGTCTGGGAAGAGGCAGTGGAGGAGGACAGGACAGGGAGAGGTGATCAGGAGTTCATGACCCTCCAAATCTAAGCAGCCATTTTTCTCCTGCAGAGCCAGCCCCTCCCAGCTGCCTCAAGAGAGCTAATACAGTCGCACACAGCCTATACCTTGAGCTTTACAAAGGAAATAAAGACTGAATAGCCTCACAGAGCCCTCAGGGACTGGTTTGAACAGGGGTCATTCAGTACCAGATAGCGATATAGCACCACCCCCACCTAAAGCCCTGTCAGAAACAGACATACCTCAACATAATAAAAGCCTTATATTACAAACCTACAGCCAACATCATACTCAATGGACAAAAACTAAAACCATTTCCCCTAAGAACAGGAATAAGACAGGGATGCCCACTTTCACCACTCCTGTTCGACATAATACTAGAAGTACTATCCATAGTGATCAGACAAGAAGAAGAAATAAAAGGCATCCAAATTGGAAAAGCAGGAGTTATACAGTCATTATTCACAGATGAAATGATATTGTACATAGAAAACCCTAAAGACTCCATCAAAAAAACTACTAGACTTAATAAATGAATTCGGTAATGTAGCAGGATACAAAATTAACACCTAGAAATATATGGTCTTTTTATACACCAATAATGAACTCACTGAAAGAGAAACTAAAAAAACAATCCCATTACCATTACAACAAAAAAATTAAGATACCTAGGAATAAACTTAACTAAGAAGGTAAAAGACTTATTCTCGGAAATCTACAGGACATTGAAAAAAGAGAAAGAGGAAGACATAAACAAGTGGAAGAATATACTGTGTTCATGGACTGGTAGAATCAACATCATTAAAATGCCCATATTACCCAAAGCAATCTATAGATTCAATGCACCCCCATTAGATACCAACGGCATGTTTCACAGACCTAGAACCAACTATCCAAATATGAAATAAAAATAAATAAATAAATAAACCTGAATAGCTGCAGCAATCCTAAAAAAAAAAAAGAGGAACAAAATTGGATGGATCTTAATATCAGATATCAAACTGTATTACAAAGCCACTGTCCTCAAAACTGCCTGTTACTGGCACAAGGACATATAGACCAATGGAACAGAACATAGAACCCAAAAATCAACCCAAGCCATTATGATCAATTAATATTTGACAAAGGAGGCAAGAGCATAAAATGGAGTCAAGATAGTCTCTTCAATCTATGATGTTGGGAAAATTGGACAAATACATGCAAAAATAAATGAAACTTACACCATAGACAAAAATAAACTCAAAATGGATAAAGGACTTAATCATAAGATGGGAAAACCACAAAAATCTTAAAAGAATCCATAGGCAGCAAAATCTCAGACATATGTCATACCAATATCTTTACCGATACAGCTCCTAGGGCAATGGAAACTAAGGAGAAAATAAACAAATGGGACTACATCAAAATAAAAACTTCTGCACAGCAAAAGAAACCATCAAAAAAAAAAAAACATCAAGAAAGCTCACTGCATGGGAGAACATATTTACCAATGTTATACAGGCAGTCCTCGGGTTACATCGGACTCGACATACATCGTTTCGTGGTTACGTCGCCATCTCCCATTTATTTATATAAAAAAAAATTCCATCATTTCGATGTACATGCATTATGTACTTTATGTTTTTTATTATTAATTTACCACAAGTAAAGGTCAGGAATTATCTTTCTTTTAAATTTTTTTACTGTTTCACTTCATTACTGCTGTGTATGTATGTGCTCCATGTGAGTGACGTAGGTGCTTATGTAGCGGGTTCCCACTTACAGTGAAAATCACGTTATGTCGCTGTAGGAATGGATCTCTGACGTAACCCAAGGACCTACTGTATCTGATGAGGGTTTAATCTCCAAAATTTATAGGGAACTCATACAACTTAACAAAAGGAAGATAAGCAATCCATCAGAAAATGGTCAAAGGACCTAAATAGACACTTTTCGAAAGAGGACATACATAGGCCAAGAGACATATGAAAAGATGCTCAAAGTCACTAATCATCCAAAAGATGCAAATCAAAACAACAATGAGGTACCATCTCACACCTGTCAGAATGGCTATCATCAACAAATCAACAAACGACAAGTGCTGGCGAGGATGCAGAGAAAAAGGAACCCTCTTACACTGCTGGTGGGAATGCAGACTGGTGCAGCCACTGTGGAAGACAGTATGGAGTTTCCTCAAAAAATGGAACTCCCATTTGACTCAGTAATCCCACTTCTAGGAATATATCCCAAGAAATCAGAAACACCAATCAGAAAGGATATATGCACCCCCACGTTCATAACAGTACAATTTATAATAGCTAAGATTTGGAAACAGTCCAAGTGCCCATCAGCAGATGAGTGGATTAAAAAACAGTGGTACATCCTCACAATGGAATACTACGCAGCTGTAAAAAGGAGGGAACTCTTACCATTCGCAACAGCATAGGTGGACCTGGAGAGCATTATGCTAAGTGAAATAAGCCAGTTGAAGAAAGATAAATATCACATGATCTCACTCATTTGTGGAATATAATGAACAACATAAACTGATGAACAAAAATAGGTCTAGAGACATAGAAGCATTGAACAGACCATCCAACTTCAGAAGGAAGGCAGGGGAGGTGGGGAGGTCAACCAAAGGACCTTTTTGCATGCATATAAGCATAAACCATTTGCACAGACACTGCGGGGGGGGGTGAGGGCGTATGCTGGGGGGTTGGAATGGCTGGGAGAGATCAATAGGGGGGAAAGGAGACATATGTAATACTTTAAACCAGCAGTTCTCAACCTGTGGGTCGCGAACAATGAAAATACATCCTGCATATCAGATATTTACATTACGATTCATAACAGTAGCAAAATTATAGTTATGAAGTAGCAACGAAAATAATTTTATGGTTTGGGGTCACCACAACATGAGGAACTGTATTAAAGGGTCGTGGCATTAGGAGGGCTGAGAACCACTGTTTTAAACAATAAAGAATTTTTTAAAAAGTAAAAAATAAAAATAAAAACAAAAACACACAGAGAGAGAAATAGAGCCTTTATGCCATTGTCAGGACATCACAAATAAATGAAATAATGTTATCTGTTATGATGGCTAAATGTTAACCCACTCAATATATTTTGGAAGCGGCAAAATCAAGTTAGGAAAAAAGGAACAATTTACCACATTACACGTAGCACCATACAAATCATCACAGTGAGGCATCACTATCATCACCAACAGAACAAAGAAGAGTAAGAACTCCTGCAATCAATATTTGGAATTTTGGCACAAAGGGAAAATTTCTATAGCACATGGCTTCCCGGAACCTTACCTCATCGCCACTCCACCGGCTGGGGAATGAGGGACGGAGCTTCTTGATGCACACAATCTCTCTCATGTCCTCGTAAGAGGGGTCACTGGGCACCAGGTCGTGATAGGGAAGCTGGTATTCTTCCACTGCACCTGAAAACACGGTTTTACTATTATACTTTTTTTCTGTGAAATAAAATTCTAACATACAAACTGTTCTCAAAAAAAAGTTCTGTCGGTACTAAAGACAAGCCTGAAAAACAGCAAAATAAATCTTAAAAAAATGTTCCCAAATGACAATCTAATTTTTAAATGAATGAAAATCCCAAAGAAACATATTACTTTAGGTCTTCAATCCTTTTCTTCTAATTTCCAAAAGCTAAGTAAAACAAGCACCTCAAATTTATTTCCAATTTTACAAAGGCTCTTGTATGCCAAAATTTTTTAAAAATCTATATTAAATCTCCATGCAACTTTGGCAGACACATTCCAAACTCATACGTATAATATGTGATCATTTCTATTACTGCAATATGAGATTATGAATCTCATAATAAATTTGGCAGTGTATTCTACTTGAATAAAATGTCACATTTACATTTTTTCTGCTTAATCATAAGAATGCATTCTTCCATATTTAAAATTTAGAGAATTGTACACACCTAAAAATATTAACATTGATCGGCTACCTCCTGGCCTTTACTGGGATCAAGCCTGCAACCTGGGCATGTGCCATGACCAGGAAATGAACCAGCAACTACTTGGTGCATGGGACAACACCCAAGAAACTGAGCCACTCTGGCCAGGGTACCCCAGCTTGTTTTTAAGCTAAGAATCATTTTGCCCATATTCCAAACACAGGCTTTCAAATACAGGCTTCTTGTTGCCCTAATTGCTTTAGATTTCCAGGGAAACATAATTTGAAAAGTAATCTTATATTATCCTATTCCTTCAACTCCTATAAACCTCTCTCTATATATATAAAAGCCTAAGCGACCATTACGACCCGTTGACCGAACAACCAATCAACCGGTCACTAGGACACGCAATGACCACCAGGGGGAAGACGCTCAATGCAGGAGCTGCCCCCTGGTGACAGTGTGCTCCTACAGCCAACCTCCTGAGGCTGGCCAGTCTCCCTCGGTCCCTACCCTCAGCTGGCCAGGTGGTCAGTGTGGTCCCACAGCCAACCCCCTGCAGCTGGCCATCCTCCCATGGTCCCAACCTCTTGAGGGTCCCTCCCCCCAGCTGGCTAACCTCCCGCGGTCCCTCCCCGCCGCTGGCTGGCCCCGATCGGGACTGGGTGAGACAGCCCCGATTGGCCCCGATTGCGGGCCAGGCTGAGGGACCCCACCTGTGTACGAATTCATGCACCAGGCCTCTAGTCTTAAATAAGTATAAACATTTTGTTCAAAAACATGCTCACTTCCTCTTTACAAAACAAAATCAAAGCATAGGCAGTTAGTTAATTTATGTTTTTGTTACTCCTTTTCTTCTTCATAATATGATGGGTGATTTATTCAATATCTGAATCAGAAAAATGTTCTACATTAACTTCCTTTGGACCAAAAAGAGTTCTCTCACTTCAGAGGGGATGTGCTCTATTTCAACTTAAGCTAATGAGAAGTTCAGAATCTCTAGAGTGATTAGAAGGCACTGCACCACTGAAGATGATCTTGCTACAGAAGTATGAATGCCTATTGATTAACTGTTTCTCCTTTATATTTCAATAGGATTCTAAATGTAAGTTAAGGCTCTACCAACCAAAGTGAAAATTTAAAATAACAGCTAACATGTATTGAGTACTATTTATGGGTCAGGCAATGTTAATTCTCTTTACAATCACAAAAACCTCACGACCCCCTGAGGTAGTGCAATAATCCATCTCCCTCTTAAGATAAGAAAACTGAAAGAAAGAAAAGTTAGTAACTTGTCAAAGGTTTACAGATACAAGTGCCAGGACTAGTTAACTGTAGGCTACACTTTTAGAATATTGGGAAAGCTCCAGTTTTCATGAAGGTGAGTTTAACTCACCTCCATCAAGAGGAAGAGCAGCAGTACCAGGATTTACTTATCAAGCACAACCATGACTAGAACCATAAACAACATACTTGATACCAAAGAGCCTCAGACTCAGCTCCTCAGCTGAAAGGTGCTGGAATCTACTAAAAGACAAATTATGCAGCAGTAGACACAATGCTACAAACAATAATAACACCTCTGAATATTTAAGGATGTTTCCTCAGTTAGTCTTACTAGGGAAACTTTATGTTTGTAAAAAGATTACCATGACCAATAATAATATTCTTATGCTTTAATTTCATTTTGATGAAAACTGATGTTTTCAAATTGCTTTATGAGTAAGTATTGTAGAAGGTTAAGAAGTAGGGCGGGGGTTAAATAATGGGTGTCCCACCCCACAGTTATGTCTTTTCATCTGAGCAGAGGAAGCCACAGGAAACGGGGCACTAGAGTTGGGCAGGGGGCCCAGCAGATTGGTAAGAAGAAGATGGAAGGGGTAGAGAAGGAGGTTAACTTGATAAAGCAACGGCTGGAGAAAGAGTTCAAGAGAGAAGTGAGACAATACATATAATAGAACAGGGTGATCTTCCAAAAGACAGAGGAAGTTGACAATGTGCCTAGAAGAGATGCCTCAGTCATAGGTGGAGAGAAGAATGCAGTCAAAGGTAATTCTATGATGTGAAGTATTATTTCCTAGGAGGATTATGACTGGGTCAACAGAAATAAAGGACAAAATTTGATTTTGAGACAACTTTGATTTCTGATCAGAAAAAAGGATTTGGCCCTAGCTGGTTTGCTCAGTGGATAGAGCATCAGCCTGCAGACCAAAGGATCCTGGGTTCACTTCCAGTCAAGGGTACATACCTCTGATGCAGGCTCCTCCCGGGCCCGGGCCCAGGTGCGTGTGGGAGGCAACCAGTTGATGTGTTTCTCTCACATCGATGTTTCTCTCTATTTCCCTATCTCTTCCACTCTCTCTAAGAAAATCAATGGAAAAATATCCTCAGGTGAGGATTTAAAAAAAAAGAGAGAGAAAAAAAAGGAATTGTAGTAGCCCAATGGTACCACTGGTACTTACCTCCTGATACGCATCTCCTAGTCACCTCCCAAAGAATGAGCCCAAAGCTGTACATATCGGCCATGATGTAAGACTGAAAGTGATTTCTATTCAAGCTCTCATCCAACACTTCTGGAGGCATATAGCGCTTGGTGCCAACACGAGTGTTGGGTGGTATGTCAACTTCATTTGTATCACTAAGGAAAAGTAAAGCAGAGCACCGTCAGTACTGAAGAGAACCAAGTGTCAAATCAAGGTGATTCCTGAACCAGGGCTTTCGTGGAAGATGGGAAAAGGTATCCCTTCAGGGAAAACCATTTCCTGGAAAAATATTTCTGGCCAGGAGTTATATTAAATATTCACGGGTAAAAACACAATGAAGATGACAATCAGAATACAAGATTGCATTACCACTAGATCAAATATAAACTCTACATAATTGCTAAACGTAAATTCAATGCTTAAAAAATATCTCCCTTTCCTTCGTATTTCAATAACTTTCTTCTGAAAAATGAATCACGCAATACAAAATTGGATTATTTGAGGCAGTATTTTTTAAGCCAAGTATTATGAGGCTTTTAGATAGCCAAACAAGGAAAAAAGGGAAGGGGGACAGAGAACCAACAAAGACTTGTAAATATTTTACTTTGATAAGCAGGGACCTAAAAAAGCTTTCTACTATCACATTTCATGAATCAAATAGCATATATTTTTAATAAAAGGATGGAAGGAGTAATCTATATATATAAAAGGCTAAGTGACCATCCGACCGTCCGGTACCTATGACGTGTACTGACCACCATGGGGCAGATGCTCAATGCAGGAGCTGCCGAGCTGCAGTGACTTGGCAGCGGCAGTTCTCGGGTAATGCACCCTGGAACCAGAGAGGAGGGAGCCCGATTCCTTGCGGGAGCCCTCGAGGGGCAGCGCAATTCCTCCTTCGGCAGTGGGTTATGTTGCTGCTGGGCACTGTTGGCCCTGAATCTGGTTTACTTCACACTTGCATTTGGGTCCCATACCCTGTACGACAGCAACTTTGCAGAGTGTCTTCTCGCACTTTGGGACCCCTTGAGGGATGTCAGAGAGCCGGTTTCCGCCCGATCCCCACAGGCCAGGCCAAGGGACCGTACCTACTGGAGGGACCCTGCTCACTCTGCAGATGCCCTTCGAGCCAAGGTGCCACCCCAGGTGCGGCTGGGGGCCGGGAAGGGACCATGGGAGGTTGGCTTCAGGGCATGTCTGGCCCATCTCTTCCAGTCCCGCCCTGCTGGCCACCACCCCGGACCACCTACATTAGTCCCTGCACTGGAGCCAGCTCTGTGAGCCGGAAGACCCTAGCCCTAGCATGAGTTTTCTTTCTTCCCCCCCCCCCCCCCCCCCCCCCTCCGCAGATGCCCTTCGAGCTGTGGCAGCACCAGGAATTCTAATCAATTTGCTTTCAAGGTTCACAAATCTGTGCACCAGGCCACTAGTTGAATATACTATCTTTATCTTTATGAAAATTTCACAACATGACGCACTTGTAATTCTTCCTGTAGACTGGAAGGAAGTTTGTGATGAATGGACCCCAGTCTGCAGGCTGGGCCTGGAGAACCGCTGCCTCCGTGCCGGGAGCTGGGGCCCCAGTGCTGCACCCACATTTCAAAGTGGTTGAACGACCACTGCCTGACAGGTTGATGATTAAAGGAGACATGTAACACTGCCGCCAGCACAGGAGTGTGCACATAGTAGGTTTAACAAGAACTACCTCAATAGAAGTGAATAGAACTAGGAAGAAGAGCAATAAACCCTAGTGCTGATGGGTGAAGAAACTATAAAACAGAAAAGGTACAAAAATTCATTAAATTGAAGTTTGGGGGACATATTTGATAAACCTGCCTATCTCCTGATTCCCAAGAAAGTGTTTGTTTGTTTTTTTTTTAATTTATTTTCATCAAACTCCATTGACTCTCAAGCATTGACATGTTATTTCTCCTCAACACTGAAAAGAGTTAGAAATATGGAACATCACCTTTATCTTGCTGAGTCACAGGCAATACCTGGCTTTCCAAAACACTAGTGCCTTTTGTTGGGGGGAGGGGAAGTTCTTGGCTTGATTTTATTGCCTCAATCTCTGTCTTCTAAACATAAAATACGTATTGTCATTTGGGAAAATTTAAAGGGTAGCAAATGCCCCTCTGTAGATCTCAAAACTGTTTACAGTTACTAAAACTTATAAATCCAAAGCTTCTTTCTCTGAACCTTTTAAAATTCACTTCCAGCTAAAATCCTTACTCTAGAGTTACTGCAGCAGACATGGCACAAGTGTACCCAGAGGCCCCTTGTGATCACCCAGGAGCTTTGACTGATGGAGTTTATTTTCCTAAAATAAAAGTTAAAGTGTAAATTTATAACACTGAAAAAAAACCTAAATAGCTGGTATTGCTTATCATCCGTAAATGTAAGTCTTAGTGTTCTGGCTTCTTTTCTGACTAGGAAATGAAGTTAAAACATAAATTCTTAGTATTTACCCACATGGTATGATAACAAATGTCATTTGTGTACCTAAGTCATAAATGGTGAGGAAGGCAAATGAGCTGAGAAGAGGTTGAATGATAAACTGGGAAAATATCAGATTTAAAAGATGCTGCAAAAGCTCCACCTTCAATTATAAAGTAAGGTCTCTCCACTGACACCTCTCCTGTGAGCAAACAGTAGGATTTCATTAATGTGCGCTGTGTGTGTGTGTGTGTGTGTGTGTGTTATAATTTATAATTATGAATCATTAGAGGAAGACAGTGGTGACCCCAGCTACAGAATTGAGCTCTATGCAGAGAAACAAACCTGAGGGTTTGCAGATGGAAAGACAGCAAAGAGCCTACATTATGTTCCAGAACATTACTGCGAAAGGAAACCAAAAACCATCTTAGCATTGGCCCACAGGAGTGCATTCAGGTCAAAGATATACTCTGACCACAGCTGATAAAGTTTTTAGGCAACTCCTTTCCTTTCTTACTCTTAGCTCCTTAATGCATTATTTGTATTTGGGAGGTCAGGAAGAGCTAATGGAATGTGTGACATCGAAACATCAATGGGAAACTGAAAGTTAGTTGTTATCTTATAATAGAGTCAAGATTTGTGATGGCCAGACTGTATAGAGTTCACCTCTAAGCTCTTAAACCTTCAAACTCTGAAGAACATACAGTCAAGGATTTTGTATGCCCATCCAATCCCCCAAAACCAGTTCCTATACAGGCTAGGAATGCTGGGTACGACCGTCCCTCCTCCACCTTGGTGATTTTCCACCCTGGGTGATTTTGCTCACGGTACCCGAATAAATATGCTCACCTGTAGTATCTGTACAAATATCTGTCTTCCGCCTAAGACTGTAAACCCCTCTCAGCCCTGACTGTCTGTCACAACCTGGTGGTCTGTCCCTAAAGAGGAGAGCACTGATCCATCTCCACTCACAGCCTGTTCTGCACCAGGCAGGCAAATTATATGCTTTAAATGAAAGAAGGAAGAGGACTGTTTACAGTAAAGTTCACTTTGGATAATTTAAGGATAAATGTAAAAGTCTCTATTAGGTATAGATCATAAAATGAGATATTACTGATAATCAGAGGACAAACAGAATTTTGTTAAGCAAATTAATTTGCAGATGATTACTATTAACCTAAAGGCAAATGCCTTTAGCACTACACTGAAACAACAACCATGATAATTGTAAGTAATTCACATCTGATAGTATAAAACATCAGATCCTCCAAACACAGAGCTCTGCCTCTTCTTCCCTCGGGAGGGTTTCTGTACTTGAAAGTAATTACCCTGCATCTCTCTCCTGGGATTCCAGAAACATGATCTTACCTGTCCTAAATAAGGACAGAGAGAAACTGAGCTTGGTCATCTTCAAGGCCACAAACAGAAATCAAACTCACTGAACACTGGGACACCGAGAAGAAAGGGAGGAAGAGAGATAGCAAGTAGAGTGGGATGGTGCGGAGCATGCAAGCACAGGGTAGGGAGTAACTGGAGGAGGGCCCAAGAGCAAAGAAGGAAACAGAAAAGGTCAAGGTACCTTCAGCGCCCCACCCCCTCCTTTTCCATTGAGGGATGGGGAGGGGTGAGAAACAAGGCTGGCAAGAAGAGATGGACACTCACAAGGGAGCAGAGTCAGAGAAAACAGCTCCAAACCCACAACATAACCCTATGTACTGCAGTGGCTGCACACGCATGGAGTCAATTTTTAAAATCATATACAGGAAAGATAAATACCAACTTCAGGTACTGATTACCTCTGCCAGGGATAAAGGGGGATGAAGTAGGGAAGAGAATGCAACAGGGCTATCTTCAACGCTGTATTTGTTTTAAAAAGAAAGACCAGATAAAATAAGGCAAATTGGTAACATCTGGTGACCTTAAATTATTATATGAGCCCTGGCCAGTGTTTCCCAATGGTTAGAGCATTGACCCACGCACTGCAGGGTTGTGGGCTTGATTTCCTGTCAAGGGCACTAACCTGGGCTGCAAGCCTAATCCCCAGCCCCAGTCAGGGAGTGTGCTGGAGGCAACCAATTGATGTCTCTATCTGTTTGTCTGTCTATCTATCTATCTATCTATCTAATCTCTCTTTCTCCCCCTCTCCCTTACAATCTCTCTGAAAATCAATGGAAAAAATATGCCCGGGTAAGGATTTATAAAAAAAAAAAAAAAAGTTATTGCATAAGTGTTTCATTATTTTTTTTTCTACTTTTTTATGTTTAAAATACAGGGTGGGGCAAAAGTAGAGTTACACTTGTTCCTATGGAAAATAATACAATAATTAATAAATAATAACACAAGAATTAACTCTGTTTTGCATACTCACAACTGTAAATCTACTTTTGCCCCTCCCCACCCCTATAAACTAGAATTAGATATATTTTAATTAAAAAGAACTCAGGAGGATCAAGAACAAGAAAGACATACGTTTCAATGATGAAGGCATAGGTTAGAGGCAGAAGGCTCTAACCATCAAAAAATGTCTCAATAAACAACAAAATTACAGAAAAAAAAAGTTTCTACCAGAAAACTAAAAATATCCCATCAAAATCATGGGCATTGCATTTATTATACAGAAAACTTCTTCTCACTTTCATGATTAAAGAACTGGGTTCCAGAATTACAGGGGCATTGTTCCCCATTTGTGATTTTATAATTAACTAGATTTTATAATTAA